GTTGGATCTTAAGCATTTGGTAGTCGAATTCAATTTTTTTTCCCTTATAGCCATTTTTTAAATATCACCTTTTTTTAGGACGTCGTAGATATTTTTTCCAGCTTTCTCGAATAATAATGCAGTTATCTTCTAATTTTTGGTAAAGGTGTTTGAAAAACCACTCTTTGAACGATTCTCCACACATTTTTTTCATGGTAGTCACCGGATTTTTCAACTCAAATACATAAAGTGCATTAGAGGACAAAAGCCTTCTTCACTTCCAATATGGCATATAATGAGCTGTTTTTTACGCACATACCTGATGGGTTTTTTAAAACCAGTTAAAAGTTCATCCAAAAAAGGCGTGTCTGGATGAAAAAAACCGACATATCGAAACATACTTTTGATTTTGGTGTGGCCTGCGTTATTCCAAGTCTCATCAAGATAATATATTTTTTTGCTTTTTCTTCTCTGTACCGTTTTTATTTTTTGTGGCGTAGGACGAAAACAATTTCATTTTTGTATAAAAAGCAAACTATTTTTTTCCTCGAGTTTTTAAATTTAAAATTAAGGGTTTTGAAAAAGCTTGCAAAAATGTAGCTCGCTTAAAAGTAGACAAATATGGATCATCGTTGACTTCTTATAAAACCTTATCAATTGTTTGGAAGTTAATTTCTAAAGAAGAATTGATGTACTATGCGCCTTATTGTATTTTTATCAAAATCATCCACAGAGCCCACTAATTTGTTTATAAACGTAGCTTTCTTTTTGGTTCAGAAAATTTATGAATCTGCCTATACTCCTTCATAACATTAAAAACGGTTTTAGCGCACATCCCTGTTTTTATCAGCAACTTTCCTTTCAACATCATGTACCAAACATATCAGGGTTCTATAAAAATTTAATGCTTATAAATATTAAGAACCATTTCTTTAGTAAAAGATGACCAAATGTCCCTTTTTCAGTCGCTTTTTTAGAAGGAGTAAAAACATTTTTCTGGACTTCATCTGCTGTATCTGTGGGAGGGACATAGTGGTCACGCAGCAATTACAAAATATAGTCAATTAAAATGTCCATAAAAATAGAGTAAAACATGTTCAAAACTAACAACAACCCACAAATACAAAAAAAAAATAAATAACACTATATGTATATCTAAAACTATAATATAATGATTATAATCAATCAAACATACAAAAATGTCCAAACTAACCAACACGGTGAAATGCTACCAAAAACGCCGTTTATAATTATCCAAATTGAACTGAATTCGACTCTGACAAAAAATATTTTGCGCGACGTCCTAAATGACTAACGACCGATTAAACCAATAGAAGCGCAAAAAAAAAATGTCACGTGAGCTGTTGCTGGATGGGAGAAATTGTTTTTGACGCGGCGTAAATGAAATCTGAATAACCTCACTAAAAACGTTGTCACAAATTACTCACTTTTGTGGTTTTTGCAGTTTTTTGCCCACGATTCGTAGATAACACGGTGGCCTCTTCCGTCCGTTACTAAGAATGGGTGTGACGTCACTGAATGAAAAATATTCTGCTGCGATTCGTACATTAGTTTTAAAAAAATCGAATATTTTATTAATATTAAGTAGTGTTTATATTTTTATTTTTGGACTATATACCTATGTTGGAGTTTTTTATAAAAATCGGTAATTTGATTTTTTTAAGACAAGCTACAAAACAACATGGAAAAAATAATGTAATGATTTCCATCAAATTTTAAATAAATTTACGTTTGATTTGAATTATAAAAAGCTCGGAGGTCGTACAAATAACCCAAAATGTTTAACATAAACCATTTATACAATAATATTTATCTTTATAATTAATGGATTGAAGTTCAATCCAAATTGTACGAACTACTGGGCCCCAATATATCCGTAATATGTAGTATACTCTCGATTGATCGAAGTGTATGATTATTTCACAACATTTTTTAAAGATACCTACTAAAAATGTTTTGGTTTACGCCGCTCCTTGTCTGAGAGGATTTGTCAACTTTTTGGTATTGGATTAAGGCGCAGACTGTGCAGAAAGTCAGATCATCGTTTAAAGAATTTAAAGACTAAAAAGTGGTTTGTTCTTTCCTGGGAG